TGCTCACACAGACTCATGTTCGTGCTGCTGATCTGTTTCAATGTTGCTGCTGATCTGTTTCATGTTGCTGCTGATCTGTTTCAATGTTGCTGCTGATTTGTTTCAATGTTGCTGCTGATCTGTTTCACGTTGCTGTGTTCATTCATACTCATCTGCTCACACAGACTCATGTTCGTGCTGCTGTTCGGTGTATTGTTTCTATACCACTAGTGCTTAGTGTATATTTATTAACGTTTTTCTTGGTTCATATTTTAGATCTTATTACTGTTTTCTTTTACATTTTAATACTTTTGTTGGCTGTAACTGGGACCCTGTGTACATAATTTTGTTCCACCACATAATGACAAATAAAGAACCTTGAATCCTTGAATAATTTGTTCGGTGCGCCCAGTTTTGAAGAGCTTTCCTGTAACTCTGTTGGTAATTGATAATAAAAGTGAACTAGCCCTGACAGGATGGACTTTCTGACCACTGAGGTGCACGACAAGATGACTGTCAGAACGGACTTACCAGCTCTACGCCTTGTGGGAACGGGCTGTCCTCCCAGTCTTTCTCAGGGAACCGTTGAAGAATGCGACCTTGACCCTCACCCTCCACTGCAAGGAGACAGACAAGAGGGACAGACCAGAGATCAGTCTGTGTTATCTGCACTGTTTCTATAAATAAACTACTTTTACACGCTGGTCATAAACCATTTGAGCAGTTCGGCTTTTGTTTATTGAAATAAAATTAAGTGCTGAAACAAATAATCCTGTGAAAAGAGCATGAATGTTTTGTTGCGTTGCTGCCACAATCATTTAATATCACACGTGTTTTTATGAACTACACTGATTAAAGTTTAAAATGCAGACAAGTGATGATCTGTGATGTTCAAAACGCTGCTGCTGCCTCAAACTCTCTGAAATGGTTCAACTGGAGCCCCAGAAGCCATCTCATTAGGAGCACTTTAAGATAAATGCTTCACGTATTGACAGCACTTAAACTTCGCCACAAAATCGTGCAATAATTTAGAAGAATCCACAACTCGCACATCAACATCCAGGCAAACTGCATTCACGGATCCATTTAAACTGAGCTGGAAGAAAAATCCTCATCTGTGGGATCCAAATCACAAACTTTAAATGTCAAACTAAATGGTGCACATTCGACCCTCGTACTAAACATTTTATGTGAATATTTGTCTAATTTATGAATATAATTTCTAAGGCTTACTTTGGTTTCCTCCCACAGACCAAAAACATGCATGTTAGGCTGATTGGTAACTCTAAATTGTCCCTAGGTGTGAGTGAGAGAGTGAATGGTTGTTTGTCTCTACGTGTCCCTGTGGTGGACTGGAGACCTGTCCAGGGTGTCCCCCGCCCCTCGCACAGTGACTGCTGGACATGGGCACCGGCGACCCCCGTGACCCAAAATGGAAGAAGCGGGTTAAAGATAATGGATGGATTTCTAAGGCTGTAAGTGCAGCATAAATAAAAGGAAATAAAAGAGAGAACATTAAAACTTTTATGGTTGCTACTGAAATAGTCGGGTCAAACAAGAATTCCAAACTCGGAATGCAGTTTTAATTTTCTCACATCCAAGGTTTTACTCCACGGTTAGAGGCGTGTAACGCTGGGTGTGTGTTAATTCAGAGTACACGCTCACTACATTTTCCTTGTTCTTAGATTCTTGTGTACGTTTGTTGCAATCGAACGACTTCCACAAACTTTGTGCTACTTTAACCACTTGTACATTGGGAATAGTGTGGTTTGTAGGGATACACCGATCCACTTCTTTTCACTTCCAATACCAATACCTGAGGGTTTCCATGGGTCGATACAGATCAGATAAAGAAAAACTGCTGAGTTAACTTAAAACATTTGGGTTTTTTTAACTCAGGCATAGGCCTGTCGCAATCAACATAAAATCAATTAATCACATGATTAATGAAAATTATCGACCTCATTTTCATTTATCGGCTTTATCGTTTCTTCGTGTCTCTCTCTTTCTTCTGAAGACACTGGATGACAAAAAGCTCAACTCCAGTGTTCTTCACTGACCTCTCTCTTTAAAATCAATTTTAATCGTCCAAAATCGTGTTTTTGGATCGTTAAAAGCAGCTAAGCTGAGAAGCTAAGCTACAAGCTAAGCTAACAGGCCGACCTTGAGGAAAAAAAACTTCATTTGACAATAATTACTTATTATAAATTATATTTATATGTTCTGTCTGGAACAGTAAACGAGTCCTCATGGCTCAATGAGACTAACCTGGATAAATAAAGTTGAAAGAATGAATGATTGGTAACTCTAAATTGTCCCTAGGGGAGAGTGAGTGGTTGTTTGTCTCATTTGTCTTTTATGTGTCCCTGTGATGGACTGGAGACCTGTCCAGGGTGTCCTGTGCCTCTGAATCAGTAGCTGCAGGAAATGGGCACCAGTGACCCCTGCGACCTGAAAAGAAAGGAGTAAAGTGGATGGATGGATGGATGGATGGATGGATGGATGGATGGATGGATGGATGGATGGATGGATGGATGGATGGATGGATGCTAACTATAGTAAATCAAGAAAAGTACTAAATAAAAACTCTTCCTGATGAGCTGTCACAAAGGATTTTGTTTATTTTTCAAATGTGGCCTTTCGATTGAGTTAAACATCTTAAATTGGCTCTCTGGAATAAAAAAAGCTGCTCAGCCATGTTTTAATTCCTTCACAAACATCGTTCTGTTTGAAATGTACATCAGTACATCTGTTCTATTGATGCTACTTTTAGATGCAGTTCTGCTAGATTTAACTGCAGGTTAGCTCGTCTTAATTTGTAACAACAATTTAGCTCATTTTAGCTTTTAGCAACAGTTTAGCAAGTCTCAGCATCTGATTTGTTCAGTTTAGCTACTGTTGCTTTTAGCTACTGTCTTCTGCGTATGCTTTCGATCTTGTGCTCTGCTCATTTTATCCTGATCTGTTGTTTTGACTCCGTTTGTGCTTCTTCAGCAAATGTCAGCATCATTCACACTGAATTTTCACCAAAAAGCACTTTGTCTAACATTTGTTTAAAAGAACTAGAGAGGTCACCAGTCCAGCAGCTGGTGGTCAGTTCATACACCACGGCTCACAGATCATAGTGGCTCTAATCTGCTGATAGTCATTTCTTATTTCTATACAGCTCTGATTTGCTGATACAAATTTTGGACAATTTCAATCTTTATGAACTATCCGTCCGTGTTTTTCACCTGCTTTTCGAGCTGGTGCATTTCTCCAGCAGTTCCGGTGCTGGACTGGTAACAGGACAAACTGGACAGGTGGAAAGTCCATCAAAGGGCCCCATGGAGACAAAAAGCTGCTCGCCCTCACAGCTAGCTTAGAGCCATCAATCAACCTAACAAGCATGGTTAGTGTGTTGGAGGGAACTGGAGCACCCAGAAAAAAGTCAAGCTTTTGTTTTGTCAGAAGTTTGCTCGGGGAGAACACGCAAACTCCACACAGAAACACCCGGAGGCAAACCTGCAACATTCTTGTTGTGAGGCAAAGCTCTGACCACTGCTACACTGTGCCACCCTTCTTTCTGAGAACTGCAATGAACAAAACATTGTTTAAAAATAACTTCTGATTAAGTTGAAATTTAAAAAGTGTAAAGGCTGCATCAGTCACTTGGATCTGGTTCAATTAGAGCCACAGGGTATGTTTACATGGACATAAGTAACCGGATCAAATGGCCGGTCGGAATAAAAGTGTGTCATGTAAACACTCCGTTCGGGTTATTTTTTGTGTATTCGGCGCGATCCGTTATAATTTCTGATCAGAACGAAACGGGTGGTTTACGCCGATCCGAAACCCGATCGGTGCGCATGTAAACGCTTGATCTGTTCATTTTTATCTGATGGTGAAAAACTGACCTGACTGCGCATGTGCGACTTTGCCATTTCCGCCTGGCTAACGCTAATAATATTAGCATGTCAGGGAAGTAAAACTGGTCGGTGAGCGACACAACATTTCTACTAGAAACTTTGAAAGAGCTCAAAATGATTTCTATTACCTGTAGCTCAGTCAGGGAGTGCAATAACGTCTCCACCATCATTAAAACCTGTCGCGGGTCCATTTTGGGTGCTCAGGTTTGTTTACGTTCACCCGGAAGTAGAACTTCTTCTTCTGTGGTTTTTTTAAGGAGAGTTTACCACACTGCGCATGTCAGTACTGCTGTTCAGAACAAAGCCCGCTGCATGTAAACGCTCATCATGAACAGATTGTGCCCATGTAAACAACACATTTGAATTATTCAAACAGAACACATTTCAATCCGGTCAGAGAATTCTGCGCATGTAAACATAGCTACTGTAGCCCATTACACCTTTAGTGCTTCTTTTACTGGTATTTGTATTTAGCTTGTTGTAAAAGTACATACAGCTAAGTTCATGAGGTCTTTATTCAGAAAATACTTCCTTTCCAAGTCATGCTGTTGATTGGGCGATACAGCAGCTAACCTGTGATGCATTCACTGACAGAGAAAATTAACTGAATGTTGGACGAGCTCCTCATTGGTCAATCTAAGAGCAGACCTGTTGATCATCACACGATCAATTAGTGCATCAGGTTCCAGGTCGTCTTCACAGAATCCGTTTGGCCACAACCTTTACAATAAAGAAGGTAAAACATCTCAAGAAAAGTGTAACTGTATAAGTATATTAATGCACTATATACGAAGTTTACTATATACTAATGTTCTCAGTCAGGTCTCTTGTGGACAGCTAGGAATGTCCAAGCTCCTGAGTGACAGACTCTTCCATGAGCTGCTCGAGTGGAACCTCCTCCTCTTCATCCTCTTCCTCCTCATCAGACTTTAGAAAAGAGGCACTCGCAGCGTATTTATTCTTTTGACTGAAATTATTTCATCACCTAGAGGTCAAGCACCCCCATACAACACGTCTGAAAGCTGTCGTCTGCATACAGGTCACTTCTCAAAGGTTTTAACGTAACGGGTATACTGTGTACATGACCTTACTGAAAGTACACAGAATACTGTGTACACGACCTTACTGAAAGTACACAGAATACTGTGTACATGACCTTACTGAAAGTACACA